CCTTTTGAGGTAGATCAAAAAAGGGGACTGTTAGAAGTGGTCTTAACCATTATAATGTGTGACGGCAGAGCATAAGGGACGACCATACACAATTGCTTTAATTTGGAATCGATTGTCTTATGTCCTGACGAGAGAAGTTAACATCACCGGCAACGGAAGAACGCAAGACAGGAAGGAGTGTGCAAATTTTTACGGTAGAACTTTTCTAACTCCTCCTTCCGATAAGCAAAGGGTGGCATCAGCACACAAAACTGGTCACTAAAGGGGAACAGTTTACTGGTGTTACATTCCGTTCAGTTAGCAGTATGCCTCCGTTCTTGGACCCTGAAGACAGCACAAGCCAGTTACATAATAATGGTAACTGCTTCTGTTCTGACAACTACCCAACAAATCTTGTAGACATGGTAGGACCTCAATGAACAATTGTTCTAACTAAGCGGTAGGGTCATTTTAATAAGTAACTAAGACTACCACCTAAAGTAGCAGCTTACGGGCCAGAGAAAAGATGGTTTCAAAACCTATTGCCTTTCTTATTCATATATGTCACACATAAAAGCGATAGAAAAAATACACGAGTTTCCCACATTGGTCCAACACAAAGTCAGCGTATCTAGTAGGATCATTCTGATAGTGGCTTAGCACAAACCAATTTATAGGGGTTGTGAACTTCTTTCTCAGCTACTGAGAGTTTAAAGTGTTGGGTTATATTTCGATCATGACTTGCCACATCCTGATCAACAATACATAAACACGATACTACCACAAAAAATTGCAACACAATTCTAGTATTCCCAATTAGTAATAATTCTGTGGCCCGTAAGAAAAAGGTATCGCACATTTGCAAGCACCTATTAAATTCACGTAAATCAAGAAGCTCAGTTTAGAAGTAAATACAAGTATTTTATAGATACACAGTGATATAAATTACTGAAGTCTCAGCAGGAATAATCAACGGGATTATAATAACCCATTCAGCTGCTATGTGTACTGAACTATCAGTGAGAACTCCGCTGAGACATACCTCTCTGATTCACACAGGGTGTGTAGTGAACGGTCGTTTTTAGGGGTTAGTAACGTTCTAAGGTAAAAATTCCCCCGTTCCTACATTTGAAAGTGAACTTGCTTTGGGTGATGAATGAAGACAGAACGGATAACTGTGATACATGTTATGTAACTGGCATCCCTGTTTTTCACAATCTAACAATAATTATGAAACTACACATTATTCAACTAATTCTGGCAACAACATCTGTATGTGAAATAAGATTGTAGAACGAGGTGTAGTTTACTGGAAATGGAATCTAAGATTACAATGACAGGTATGAGCTGTGGTGCATAAAGCATATCACCAATGGTCAGAAAACAGTACTGCGATTGAAAAAGATTAGTATTGTATTCTGAGGAATTCCTCTAATCCCGAAATTCCCAGTTCTTTACCAAATCATGAACTGAAAGAATCTTTACCTTAGTTTTTCCCATTACTGTACAACAATGAACAGACCTGCGATGGAAGTGAGCCAGGTGCAACAATGAAGATGTTGTGAGTTGGTACGTCCAGCCGATAAGCTTAAGAAAGATTGTAGGGATTATTCACCGCACACCTTCTGTATGATTCAAAGGGACATGTCCACTTGTCTCAGTGAAATTCTCAATGATGGATCAGCACACACGGCAGCTGAATGCATCATTATAATCCCATTAGTTATTTCTATGTAGACTATAGTGACTGGCATCATTATATTTCTACAAAATATATGTATGAGCTTCATACATTACATTGTTTAAATCGTGTGAATATTCAATTCTCTTTTTTCCGGCGTGAATCTGTTATTGGGAATCGAATCGCGAACCGAATCGCGAAACCTAATTATAGTCAATAATTCTATCAATAAAACATAACTGTAAATTAAACTTTCAAGGAATAAAGAGATGAGAACAACCAGAAGCGATAAGCGTAAATACATACGTGCTATCCATACTGCAACCTTGCCCGGCTTGCTAGTTCACTAGCCGGTTCTATGTCCGAAAAAAGAGGGAAGGTTGGGCATAGGGCTAGAAACCCTACCCAGGGAAACCAATACAATCCATAAACAAACTTCAAAGCACAAAGAAAATATCAAAAATAAAATCAAACTTATTCCTCGCTGGAATCAGAGAGACAAAAGATGCCGGTTGCTGAAAGCTTTCGAAAAGCCAATTCCACAATGTGTCTCCTCTTAAATCGATGAAAGCAAAAGTAAGCATAGGGACATGGAGTGTCCACACAATGTTTGGACCTGGCTGACAAGGCTGCCCAGGTTGCAAAAGGGATGAGAAGATATAGCATAGAAGTGCTAAGAATCTGCCAAAGTAGATGCAATCGAAGTAGACTCTCCAAACTCTTAACTCGACAGTCAATAATCTATTCCGATATTGTCACCCACACGACAACCACAACCACACTGAGTTTCACAGTGGCTATCATGATGTCCCTTACTCAAGAGCATCGAAGGCTTTCTATGGTGCAGTAGGAACCAATCTCCTCCTCCACGATCAAAATGATTACAGCAAGATTCCACTCTTCGAAAAGAAGGAAAGCCACAATCATACAATGCTATGCTACGCACCTACAAATAACGCAGATGAAGAGAAGAAGGAGGAATTCTACAGACAACTGCAATCAACACTGGACAAGACCCCACCCCAGTTGGCGATGGCAACATCAAAATTCTAATGGGTGGAGGGACATGAATGCCAGCCAAACTGGGAACGGACAAAACAGGAAGAGAACGAACTCATCATGGCTCGAAAAGCACTCAGTGAAATGATGAACGAGAATGGAGAACTGTTTGCAGAATTCTGCACATTCAACGATTTGGTGATTAGAGTGAGGCAGTGTGTACAAACACAAGGATTTTCACAAATCGACATGGATTTCACCAGATGAACACACTAGAGGAAAGAAAGATGGTGAAGCAGAAGATGAACCAGTGCAAGGATGAACAACGAAAAGAAGAACTGAACACAACCTATAAAACACTGGACAAGGAAGTAAAGATTGTGCGCAAAGACAAAAGACACTTCGATGTCACACTGGCAAGTGAAGCAGATCAGGCTGCTGGTAGGAGAAACTTGACATTATATCAAATGACCAGGTTACTTACTATCTGGGAGGGAAGAGATCAACACAGATGAAACCAATGAAAGATAGTGGAGGAAACTTAGTTACCACCAAAGAGGAGAAACAAAGGAAACGATGGGCTGACCACTTCAAAAAACTTTTCAATCGACCACCACTGCCACCGCCACCACCACCACCACCACTACCTGCAACTCGTCCACAAACACCACCAGCAGTCCAGCCACAGAACTATCAGTGAACACAAGCTCTCCGACAAAAGCCGAAGTGAAGTCCTCAACGCCAGAAGATTGCTGAAATCCGAGAAAGCACCAGGACCAGATGAAATTCCGCCAGAAACACTGAAAACAGACGCAGAGACAACAGCCGACATGCTCACACCACTGTTGCAGAAGGTTTGGTAGCAAGGAAGGAAAGGTGCCTGCTGGTTGATTGGAAGAAGGGCTACCTTATCAGTGGACTCCCAAAGAGGGGCGACCTAAGTCCTTGCAAGAACTGGCGCGGAACCATGCTCCACCCCTGTCCACCTCAAACAAAATATTAAGCCGCATCATCCTGCAGAGACTAAAACATGTGCTGGATTCAAAATTGAGACCGGAACAGGATGGCTGGCTGAATTCAGGAAGTACAAATCATGTGCGGATCAAATTGCAACGCAACGCAACGCTACACTACGCATCATCAAAGAACAGAGTATAGAATGCCAGTCAACTCTTTACCTTACCTCAACTTCATCGATTTTGAAAAGACCTTCGACAGCGTCAACCGAGAAGTAATTTGGCAGGCAGCTGCTCCAACACTACGGTTTTAGTGTCACAAATCGTTAATAACCTCACTGAACTGCAGCCATATGCTATGCTATATGATGCTGCTACATGCCAAGTGATTCACAATGGAAAGCTCAGTGACGCCCTTGAAGTGAAGACAAGAGTAAAACAAGGTTGCCTACTATCATCGATCATCTTCCTGATTGTGGTCAACTGGAGGCGGCGCAGCGAAGACAAGACTTCATTCAGGTGAACGCAGAGAAGAGAGGGGTGGTGAAGATACCCAATCAACAACAACAACAACAACAACAGGCACTAATTACCATCAACGGGAGAAATCTAAGGGAAGTTGTCTCTTTCACCCACCCACCTAGGCAGCATCACTTCAACTACAGGCGGTGGCACAGAAAATGGCGTCGAAGCCAGGATCGAAAGACAGCAAGACAGGTCTTCATTAATTTGAAATAATCGGTGTGGAGATCTACTGCACTGCACTCAGCATAAGTAACAAGATCCGGATTTTCAACAGTAATGTTAAGTCAGTGCTTCTATGTGATGGTTGAGAGACTAGGCGCGTCACGAAAAGCATCTCCAACAAATTGCAGACATTCATCAACAGCTGCCTACGCTCGATACTCAAGATCAGATGACCACAAAGAATAAGTAGCAAGGAACTCTGGCCTGACAACGAACCAATCAAGAACCCATCGCCAAACAAATATGCAAAAGAAAGTGGAGATGGATTGGACTGAATATACACTGAGAAAAGGGATTGGGGACATCACGCCCCAGGTCTGGCCCTCGAGTGAAACAAAGGGGAAACGACGAGTTGGACGTCCGAGGCAAGAGTGACCTGGAGGAGATCATGTGAGGAAGAAATTAAAGCTTATGGTCAGTCGTGGAGCCAGGTTCAAAAGACTGCAGAGAACAAAGCGAAATGATGAAGTGCTACTGAAGCTCTACGTTTCACAAGGAACCCAAAGGACAAATAATAATAGTAATAATAGTTCATATTGAGCTTAAGACAGAAGGATAACCCGGTGGATGATAAATTATTCTTTATTTGAGTATTAAGAAATATATGCAATAAAAAAATCACTTAAAGGTTTAATCACATTTTACGTGAAAAAATTAACTCTTCAACGCGATATTCATCACCGACAAATTCGAATTTAAAGCGTCTTAAGTCTTTTCGTGTAATAATTCCACGAACCTGAAACAGCCGAGACAAAACATAAGTTATAAAATTAAAACTTATTATTAAGGCATCAAAAAATTATATTCAGCTACAATTTTAGCAACCTACTGAACTACTTTACTGCAGTTTGCTTGAATCTTGGTCAAGATTCGCACAGACAGTTTCACAAATATTGGGTGTCGAGTGAACAGTTGACATTTTACATAAGTTACACTTGCATAAATCTGCATTTGAAATCAGTAATTCCAACGTGGTCCCAGCTTCTTCATTTCCCTGGAGAAGCTCGGACCACAATTCCGTGCAACATGTTGGTAGGGTCGATTTCAAGCACACATTTATACAAATATAACTCATATATAACATTTTACTACTGGTACACAAAAATCCATAATAAATGGTCAACTGTACACGGGTTGGTCCTTTACCTTCAAACTTTCTGAGCAACTTATTTTACACTGATGACACGTAAGGTAATCTGGTGAAATCTAAAAGATAACAAAATTTCGTACAAGCTAGAAATACTCAAGGGAAATCAAAAACGTCTCACAAGAATAACTAGCATTTGTACCTAATTAAGAAATTACCTCTCGATAGTTGGTCATAGATAAAACAGCTGTACAAACAACGAAGTATCGGTTGTCCTTCGCCTAATTGTGATGATGAAGCATCCAGTTGCACAGTGTGCTTGCACAAGGTAGAAATCAGCGTAAGAAGATAGCATGTAACACTGCTCTACAGGTGATGTACTCAATGCTTACACTAAAGAAAAAAATAAAATCCGTATATTCTGATACCACTCATCCACCGCCTAATATTCTTCTTGTTCTTTGATTCTTATCTAATAAATTAATTCCACCTATTGATTCAAGCTGGTAATACTACGTAACAGTCCAAGTTATCAACATTTATTTCTTTTATACTACCTAAAATGTGGCAATTGGGACAGATTGACTAATATCCTAGTTTTTTCACGATCCAAGGTCTTAGTTATACATTGGAAATACATTTCCACTTACTCTACATTTTTATGCTTGCAAAACATGTGACATATGGTCTAAATTTCTACGAAAATATATATCAGTATAATACCTGATTTTGATTATCAACAACTGGTAGATGCCGAAGACCAAGAAGACGGAAAAGGTGGTATACGCGAGTCATTGTCATAGTCTGCAAGGATAAAGTATAAAAGGTAAAAATTGAAGGACAGTTCGAAATAGCAAATAGTATACAATAAAAGCATAACCCTTAATGAATATATACCAACTAGGAAAAAAAAATGCTTCGCTACCAAAAAGGATGAATATCATAAACCTTTACCATCATTTAACAGATAAGAAAGGATAAGAGAAGTGGATTATTCTTAAACCCGGACGATATCTGTTGACCATAGGAATCCTCTAGTCAGTGGTAGTGATGGACTGGACGCAAGCTTTTACTTGCAAATATCTTTAACCGGTAAGCACTTTAAGACAACGGCAATGCATTCTGCAGCACGAAATCACACACTGAACATTCATCGACTTCCTACTGATCTAGCGGCCAAAACACGCACAACCTCCGCTCAGAAATGCCTATACGGTTTTCCCATCGGCTGCGAGCAAACCTACAAAGGCAACGGTGACCGAACAAGTGGAGTAGTCGGACATCCTCAGCTCGGAAAAACTAGGCTTCACAAACAGCGTATACCCGATCTTCATATTGTAGCTAACGTTACGATGACGCTTAATATGACGCAGACAAGCGTTTACCATTTTTACATGCATGAACAAAAAAATTCAAATCCCACCAACACACACAATTATCAGCACTTTGCGCTTCTATGGCAAGGAGCATGATATACTTACGAACACAAAGGTACGCGATGAAGTACAATTTGAGTAACCTGTATTTCACTGCACAGTAAAAATGTATGATCCCCGTAGCCAAGGTCAAAGACTTTCGACAAGTAATGAATCCACACTACAACCGTTCATCTTCTTCAGAGCTATCTCGAGGATTTCATTAATTAAAAAGCCAAAGAATAATGGTGAAGTCAAGCATTTTGGCGAACCTCACCGTTGGTTCCGAACATTGGAAAGCAGCTGGAAACCTTCACTTACCAGAAGTGTTCTGTATAAGGCCTTAAAGTTGTTAGCTAATACTTCAGGGACGTCCCTCTCCAACAGACAATTCCAAAGCACAACTCAGTCCAACGAAGGCAGCTTCAGCATCTAGAAGTACAACGGTTGATTACCTGCAATGTATCTTTCTATACCTCCACTTTGTGAGGTGGGTTTGCCCTGAATAACCACAAAGCAAAAGAAATAGTATTGTCATACTTGAATAGGTAGTCAGACATCAAGCTGACATTCCGTTAGCAACCAGCCCATCCGAGCAGATGCTGCTCCCCAAGTATTTGAAGTGGTCAACTCATTTCACCACATCACTCCGTATACTCAACCTAGATGTAATTACAGACCAATCCTGAAGCATTATTTTACATTTGACAGGTACGAAACACACATCATACTCAGATTTTTGTTTAACGCGTTTACAAGACCCTGCATTTTGTCAGCTTTTTCGCCTACCAGGACAATATCGTCTACATACTCAAAGTCAACCAGATGGCTTTCAGGGAGTAGATTAATCCCAGCTAAGTCAGAAGTACTTAAGAGTGTGCTCACTAGTACTACATCTATGAAACAACTAAACAGGAACGCTAACAGTGGGCACCACCAGTTGCCGTCGACTCGTATGATACTTCTCAGTAGGCCCTTACACTGCTGCATGACAAACTGAGAGCTTCGATTAGCCTTATGTACTTGCTCGGTACTCCTTTCACGGTCACACACCGCCAAAACACCTCACGGTCGACCGAGCCGAATGCCGTTTGTAGGTCAATAAATATAATAAGTGTCGGCCCCCGGTAAGTGTGCGTGTTCCAGAACCTGTCACAAGGTGACAATATGATCGATGCACCCTCGTCCAGTTCTGCTTGAAACCTACCTGGTTTACTCGAGTTTACTGTTCTCGGGCTTCACTTAGGCGTCGGATAACTATGGACCCTAAGATTTTGGAAACAGTGTTAGTTAAACTGATCACCCTACAGTTGCCACAGAAAGACTACTGTTCCAACTGATAGCCTGAGATGATTAGAAAAGTACAACAGTTTTACGGGAGTAGTTCTGATTCCCATAAACTACTTAGTACTTCCGCCACTCTAATCAACAATTTACTATGTTTATCGTTGAAAACTAGCAGGTTCTGCTGCTTTGCACCGTTTCACATTCTATACAGCCTTCTCAACTGCGAGGAGAGTTTGAGGACCGACATATACGTCTCATTAAGGTTCAGACTAGATGTTGGGCAACCAAAGCCTTGCTGAAGGGCAGTTGAACTGGGGTTCGAAGTGTTCTGTTCAACGTTCTAGCCACCTGTCCTGAGAGGTTATCAGCGTCCCATCCTTGTTGATGATAGTTTCAACCACCATCATTTTCTTCCTGCCAGTATCCTGAATAAGACTAAATAATTTCTGAGTACTACTTAATACTAACGTCTTCTCCATCTTTTTCGCATCGCCACCCATCACCGCTCAGGATCAACGCGAAGATTCTTGGTCAACTTACATTTAAGTTGCTTTCACTCTTCATTGTGGTCAGAGTCAGCTGGAATCAGTCTTCTTGCATCAATCAGTTCGAATGAAGTTGCGGAAATTCTTGTCAGAAACAGGTGTTTTTCAGAACCAAATTGCGACAGATAATCACTGTGGTCGTTTCGTCGGCATAGGATTCTGTACATACCTGCAGAATGCCTTTCAGATTGACTCAGCTTCCCTATTTGAGCGTTGAAGTCACCTGTCTTACGACTACATCTGAAGATTTTGCTTTCTGTAGGAAATTTGACAGCTTTCATAGAATCCATCTTTTGCATCATGTGAACTACAGTCAGTGGGATCGTAAACGGCGATCATAAATAAACATCGATTAATCTCATGGTCTTTTCTAGTTCTTATATAACCATTCAGTTGAAAAGCACACGTACGGTTGTTGATTGGTATCCGATCGAGAAACACACTTTCTGCTCTACGACTCAATGCTATGCCTACACCAGCGAGTCAACGACAGCTAGCCATTGGGTCTCCGGATACTCGTCAGGTGAATTTCGAAGACTCACTACTATGGCCAGCTGAGGTCAATTTAATAAGCACACTAGGGTTCTGTCTGTATATGCGTCTCAAAGAAATAGCATACGTCCATAGTTCGAAACTCCAGAGCTCTAGCGAGCGATGTGTGTTTTCAAATTCGGTATGACATTCGGATGTTGAAAGCTTCAACACGCAATCGATGGCGGGGTCTTAGGAGACTAGGAATGAGGTTTCGATGGCTTTGATCTTTGACAATGGTCGAAGAGTGAGTTGGGGAAGTTGGGAGAGGTTTAATATTGGTATCAGAAGGTGAAGGCAAAGAAGGAAACAGAAGTAAGGAGGGTAAGCTGTTTGAGTGAATCTTGTATACTAGTGGGAGCTTGTGGGCGACTGGTACTTCCCGGCTGCCCACACCGTGGAAATTGTTTCTGTAGGGTACTTGAAAGAAAGAAAGGAAAAGATCCATGTAACTGCAGAGTTAATGGAATATCTGCGTGAAGCCTGTCACACACCCTTTTGAGGATTGTTAGTGTGACATCTGATTGTTCTACAACTGATAGAAAAACCTATACCACCGACACTGAAAGACCGTGAGGCAGGGAAGTGTGCTACTTTTATGGCCAACGTTTCCTACCCTCCCCCTCCCACCAGGAAGGCACAATTAGCATGGGACTAATGGTCGTCCAAGGGAGGAAACACCTTACCACTGTCACACTCCAGTCAGCCATCAGTACGACCTTGGCCTCGGAGTTCCATCATAGCTTAACAATTTACATCATAATGGTAACTTCTTTTTGTCTTATCACTATCCAACAGACCTTTCTGACTGACTGACTGACTGACAAAGTCAACGTAAAACCTTTCACACAAGCGTATCGGCTCAAGTTGCCACACTTCACAGCAGTACACAAGGAAGAGGCGGCATAGTAGGAACCCAAAACACAAGCATTGCAGTCAACGTAGTTCGTCGGGTCTTTGTGATATGCAAGTCCGACCACCACGTCAGGGCACCAGCAACCAGGCGGGCAATCAATGACAAGCACCTGAATGAAGTCAAATACTCATAAATCAAATTTGAAAATGATAACGGGGGAATGATACAGTTCAAATGTGAAAATAATAACACAGCGATGAAACGCCAATACACCAAATGACTCGATATCCCTTTTTTCAATAAATTATACCGCTCGAAAAAAATCTTGACAATGGCCTTGAAGTCTTGGTGGTTAATTTTGATCTATGGTTCGTAAGTGGGTTTCGACACCGTCCAGACGCCCAGACTGATGTACGTGCTTCTCAGAAGACTACTCTCCGAGCATTTGATTTGAAATCTGATACATGCGGCATTTTGAAACACATAGGGGGTAAGTAGGGAAAATGCCAAAAGTAATAAAATTACATGTAAAAACAGTGTTAAGGGTGAAAACCACGAGGAAGGATTATAAAACCATATAAAGAGGGGACACCAGAAGCCCTACATAGGATTCTTAATCAGGCTGGGATTAGACTGACGTTTCAGTCTAAAAACTCACTTAGACACAAAATTTGTCAACCAAAGGATCCTATCGAAACAACTCAGTCTACCAAATTCTATGAAATGACTATGAGGCGAATTCAATAGGTCGAACTAGCTGACCGGGGTCAATTAAGGTAGCAGGACATAGGAACTTAGCTAAATATAGGATGGTAGACTTCAACATGATAAGAAATTTACGAAAGAGCCCAGCTACAGCTATACATGGTCTCACACAATCATGCAACAGGATGAGATAGAGAGAGACAGATACTGACAACTGAGGAGTCGTTTGTTGAATCGGCACTCAACACATGTGATAGAAATGATGTAACACCAGACCCGGATATTTTGAAGAATTTACTACCAATTAAATCAAGGAGTAAAAAATAACAGAACTATAAAAACTACACCAGAAAGTCGTATAATTACCCTTATATGGCTACGAGCAATAAATTCTGCTCGAAACATCATCCGTAAATAATACTGTTTCAGTGTGTGGTACGTATAAGAAAGAGCTGTAGTGGAATTATATCCTACCACAGTCCCCAAATTCTGTTCTCATATTAATGAGTTGTTATCTCAGTTCTTCATCAGTGCACTGATGACGATGTTTAGCATGATATAGAAACCTTTTGAAACTAAAACCTCAACGAATAAAACAAGTATTCTGAATATATCTCAATATATGTACGAGAGGAACAAACAACTCTCTTATAACAAACCATACGTCTTTATCAAAGGGTGTATAAGAATGAACATTCAAACAACTTTTATTCATTTATATTGTATTGATACCTCAATATTTTGTGCAACAATTAGCTTGCGAAACTGGTGATTTGGTTCACATAACTGTGACAATGAGCTCATAGTGCACACTTACACCAATCAAAGTAAATAAAACTAATAACAATGTATTTTAGCAACGTTTGTTGGTCGACGACAATGCAGTTTAGCATGTGCGCATTTTTCTACTTGCAAAATGTCAGTTACATTTTCATGTGCCTCAGTGTGCACAGACGGTCTCAATCAGAATGCAATCCATAACCATTGGCAATGAAAATTGCTAGACTACTGAGCTACTAGAATCAACGTATTTTGATATACTGATAAATACCTATTGCATTACAAATAACCACCACAATAAACCAATAAAAGGTATAAGAAAATATGAATAAAAATATTTTGAACTATGAAATATGAATACTAGAGTTTTTAAGAGCGAAACAAAGTTCACAGCACACTGTTAAAATACTACATGACACTTCATCTCACACATAAAATGTGTGCAAATAACAATGATTATTTTGTACAGTGGATAAATTTCGAAATTTTAATACACGTAAACTCGTTGTTTTTTGAAAAGTTTACCTTACCTCTGGAACACTGTAAGGCGCTTCACACATATACGGTCTCAAGTCTAAGTAGGCATCCATATCTTCAAAAGATAGATTAGCTAAAACATCCTACAGAAATACGGATTAAAAAAAACTAACCCATAATACATGAAAGTTGACCGAAAATTATGATGTAAGATTTGATAAGTAATGTTGGCCTCCAAAACATGGGAGCTATTTTCAAGTTTGCATAATGAAACAATTAAGATAATACAGGATGAAATTAAAAATATCACAGAGACAATACGTTGCCACATGACCCTATCAAAATAAAATATAATTGCTCTGGGTAGACTGATTTTAAAAACGAACCGCTTTGAAAATATAAGGACCAATACTTATATAGTCAGAACTTTAGCTCCTAATATTTTCTACACAAAGTTTTGATGCATATTTTGATATCACTGTTATGCCGCATTTCAATAACGTGTTTGCTCAAAGACAGAAGTGGCTGTCTGTCAACTTTGCTTGTTAACGATTGAAAACTTATCCGTTTTACAATACTTTAGGTACTCCACAGCTGGACTGCTACTCTATATATAACATCTTCAAGTATATATGATATATATATATATATATATATATATATATATATATATATATATATATGATATATATATATATATGATATATATATATATATATATATATATATATATATGATATATATATATATATATATATATATATATATATATATATATATATATATATATATATATATATATATATATATATAAGATGTGAAGCGATCAACAATACAATGTTGAAGATTATTCTGAGGTATCTATTTTATTTTCTCAACAATGATCGACTTGGAAGTATCGTGCGTTCAAACCAATAACAAACGAGACTCTTTTCAGAATCGTACCACTCGATCCCCTTTACACGAGACACCACGTTTCTTCAGGTCAGAAAACAGACTGTATTTCAGTGCCGTTTGATTGTTACAGCCATCAATACACTTCCATATAAACCAATAAGCAATACAAAAACTTTATCTACTGTATCCCCTACTCAGATAGTTTGGATTCATTAAAAAGACGTCTTACTAGGCTCGTTTGTATTGCATTCGATAAATACCGTAGAAGCTAAGGTAATATCCTTCCAAAGTGAGATTTTTAGAGACAGTGTATTAGTTTATACAGTTTCTATCCCACGTAATACAAGTCAAGCTAGTCTATGGATAACATGTGGACATTTTCAAAGATGAAAAATGATTGTCACAACTTGCCTTTTTTCTGACACAGAATTAACAACTTTTCGAACCTTAACCAACACTAAAAACTCTAAGTTGATATCCTTTGAACAGTTTGAGACGAATAGAAATTAACGTATTTTCAAAGGTCATTTGATGTGTTATTCGATCTTGCCATCTCCATTACAGTAACCGAAGACATGTATAGATAATAAACACATCCCTTCTAACAATAAATTTACTGACACCTGATTACCACGTGTTTTTTTTATGTTTCAAGCTTCCTTGATTTCCACCAATATTATTGCTACCTATATCTGAACTATTATACAGCAACTTAGATACTTTCTTTACGTACATCGCGAATAAATTAAAAAATATCAAGGTCCAACTCAGTAACTGAGTGGATGTTCGCATGATGGGCAATGAGCTATACCTAACGTATAACGACTAAAGATACCATATGGCTACCCGAACCTTACGAAGTTGAGCAGCGTTTTAACCTGTGACAATGCTTACACCAGTGCGCCACAGCTCCGCTATACTGCTAATAGTTTTAATTACAATAAAATAGTTTCGGCACAAGTAGACAGAGAAAACAACATAGAATCTGGCGCAAAGTGCATCAATCCAAGTTCCACAATTCACAGCAGAATGCAAAGAAGATTGATATAAAAGTAGACAAGTGTATAGGAGGAGAAGTTCAAAAATCAAGGCTAGTGAAAATGTTCAAACAGTGGAGTACACCAGAGTAAGTACATTTAAACCATTGTGATGAATTTTCAACCAAGTCACCAAGGATCATTGACTTCTATCATCTACAGTACCCCAATCAGGCAGTTTACACCTCACTACAACATTCGGACCAAGATTTAGAGACTTCATGGATTATTTTCACGTTTTGGTCCATCAACTTATCGACTGACTTACCTCAATGCCCTTCAACTAACCTTGATATTGCTCAAATAGTGATTTCACTATACGTGAGCAATGCTATGAAGACAGCTGTGTTTAAAGATCTGTAAGATCTTCACACCTACTTTCAACGAACATGTCTCGTAGCCGTATGATTGGATACAGGGGATTTCAAAGCAGTATACCGTTCTTTAATAATTAATTGGATATCTCGCCAGTCAGACCCAGAGATGGCTAAAGTAAGTGCCAAAAAGGCCTTCAGAGCTGAGCTGAAATTTCGTCAAAACCCATCATCTGGGTTGATGCAACTCTAAGTAAGTGAGGTGGTTGATACGTTCAGCTACTTCACTCCTTACCGCTGGCTTGGATCGTTAGTAACGGTAGCAGTGTGAAAGGTTGAGGGACTTCTAAGTGGCTCAATACTAGCATCAAGAAGTGAAGGCGAGGCAGATGACAAAAGTAAGGTACGTTATGACATCGTAAATGTCTGTGCCAAAATTGTTACGACTATCATGGAAGAATTTGAGTGCTGAGTCATATCATTATTATGAAAATGAATTTTATTATAATCCCAGTGTGTTTATCAATTCAAAACATGATTTTTGTGAACATTTCGTTGCGTTAGCCACACTTTCTTCAATAAAGCATTCGGATTTTGACTAAAGTTGTTTCTACAAGGTTGAAAGACAAAAAGGACTAATAATGGTTATGCCTGACCACAGAACCTAAGGGACATCCGTTTGAAGCTGGCAACACACAGCTTTTCTGAAAGTTTGAGATCATGAGATTTAAACGTGACTGTGATTTATCCGTGCTAGAAAATCCCATCCCACCGGTTTCAGAAAACTGGAGGGCAGAGAGGAGTGCGCTGTTCGGTAGATTGGTCTTCTCCACTCCCCTTGCTCGTCACAAGGAAGGCAGCATCAGCATAGTCATCCATAGAAAACATCTGACTGCTGTCACTCCATCCAGCTGGCAGTACAACTTCGCCCTTGGAACCGTATCATAGCGTAGCTGTTTAAACCATGACTATTTCGGCTCTTGTCTTATCGAATCGAAAGTCGGAATAAACTCAGCAACTACGTGCAAGTTTGTGCAGTAGGCGATGATGCACACCTATTGCGTGAAGGGTGATGATACTGCTTGATTGGCTAAACCGCGGTGCAGGATTCGAACCCGTAACCCACTGATTGGAAGTCAAGTGCCTAAACCGATCAGCCACAGCTCCTATTTTGTCTTTCCGCTATCCCACAGACCTTTCTAGTATGGTAGGACATCAAGAAACAAACGTTTCAGCTAGCATAGCTCGTTGAATTATTGTGATATTCAGACCCGTTCGCTACATCATGCTAGTAGTTGTCGGTCCGGATGAACTGGATTTGACATCACATCCTGTCACTATAAGTATCTTCATTTGGAATGTAAATGGATAGGAGTGGCGTTCTTTTCATAAGAGAAATCAATTTATTTGTGGTAAACCTCAAAATAGAATACAGAAACTTGAGAGCTTCCCTGTAAGTTAAGAATGAATCACTAAGTTGATCTTTTGCAATTACCGTCCAAACTACATCCATATTGACCAACTTCTTCCTCCTGATTAACGAAAGTACTTTAGAATGAAATTATTTAAACTAGACAGAAAAGTCATGGCTTTTGGATCGAACTAGATCGAAGTGTTAATGCTACCAGTAGAAACAGAAAATGGCAAAGTTCTATATCTAGCTAACCCCAGCTATTCAATCTCAACAACTTAATCAAGACACACGGACTCAACAGCAACACCCTTGTTTCAGCATGCAGAAAAGTCAAAATCAATCTTAAAACGAGTCACTACTGCAAAAAGCTGACAAGTCACAAACTGACGAAATAGACACTAACCGTTACTTGGCTTGTAATGATTTCTTACTCCTGTTAGATTACAGTTTCACAAAAAGCATCCTAAAGTTAACCAACTTCTTAAAGGTAGCAAACTGGATGCCCATTAATGAAAAGGTGTATTTCTACAATCCTACTGAAATACCTACAAGACTACAGACGGCGGATTGTTCTAAACCTGGTCACAACACTGAGCATACGAACAAACAAGTGTAATAAATGTTGGTTGCAAACAGAAATTTTTAGAAATATGTTGACTTACACCCAACTTTGGATAAGACGGATAGGCGTCATCATAATCTTTGTAGCTCATCGAGTACACTGTACTACCATCTTTTAAAAATGCCTAAAACAACGAAGCAAGATAAAGGTTAATCAGTAATTCCTCAAAAGAGAAACAGCGGCTTGAGTAGTTGTAAACAGCAATCAGAGTGAGATACTAGACTAGTAAATTAGCTTCCAATTGATAAGCCACGGTTTCGAACCCATTAAATCTGCTGCACTATGCCAAACTGGTTGATACTGTCAATGCTCACACAACGTATATTTCGCATTATACTGCTGTTAAATAGAGGCAACCAGCAGAAAGCCGTGGATCTAGGTTTCATGCTTGTTGCCCGCCGTAAAGCAAGGTGCATCTGCAACCTCAAGGGGACTGATTTCCTCTGGTAGGTTCAAACCTGTTTCACTTAGTGTTGCAGTCAGAGACGTCACCCTTGAATTATTCGGGTGGCAATTGACCTCCTGCAAGACTGCGTTAGATCCAGTACTTCCTGTCGATTCCTTCCAACCATCTAACATCAACCAAAATGCATTGTGATGCTGAGTCTCCTAGCCCGCAGACTACATTACAAAATGACCGACAGGATTCAATCAGTACTATGGACTAGACAACATGAAATTCGTTACTCTCTAGTTAGCAATCAATTCACTTCATACTGTATGGACCTTCAAATATTTATTAAGATGCACTGGCGATTTAGTTTTCTGATCAAGTTTGAACTAAAACCGTAAAAAAAGTTTAAAAGAAGTTTTTACACCCCCTGGATTTATCATGGTCGGCCATATCGATAAATAATGTAAAAAATGACCCTTTCGTTTATCCTTCTTTCCTTTGTTTCTTACTATTCTTGCGTAACTAGTGTCAGCAACTGATCTCCTAACATAAGTATTTATCCTTCTTATTCGTCATTATTACGCAAATTATCGATTAAAAGTTCATTTGCAAAACAAAACAAAGTGAAATATTGACATCCACCGATTAAAATAAATCACGACTGCTGATAAAAAGTGCAGCTTTCCTATAACCTAGTTTTGCATTCAGTGGAAAACAATTATTTCAACGAATCAGACAAAAAAATTTTTAATTCTCAAAATACTATCATGACACAAAATGTGAACATTTTAGGAGAAACATGATTCCAATATGCGTAGCGCAAAAGGGTATAAGTTGAATTTTAGTACCAGAAACACCAGAAACAAGAAATTATGGATGGAGTTATAAAGAGAGAATTCCTCTACCTACTGAGTAGTACACTACGCGATTATGCCGATAGTAACTAAATGCTTAAGAAATGTATCATAGAAAGTAGTAATATATTCCAGTTAGTTCTTGCACTAAGAAAACCAGTTCTGATATATAGCAATTACAGATTCATATAATAATCTCAGCTTTTACAATACCACTTAACTGGCCACCTTCTTGTAAAAAGAACATATGCCAAAATGACGTTTCATACGTATTTCACAATCATTGTAAACTACTATAGTTGTGTGACTGAAATACACCAGTCATATAGCTTCAGAAAACAAATTTTTCGGAGCCTTCTATTTCAGAACTCACACAACTCCCAATTTCTTTCAATAAATACCGATATATGTGGGCTCACTCAAGAACCACTTATCATTAGCTTTAAATAGGTAAAAAAGATAAACTTGCTTTACCCTTAGAAAACCTGACAAATTCAGAACAAGATCACTTCAATAGGTTGACATAAGCGGCAATGTCGTGCTGATACTTCCCTAACCTTACTATATAACTGCATTTTATACACGCTTATAAACCTATAAACATAATAGCGACGTGTTATGTCAAAACAAAAGATTATCGACATAAAAGAAGTAACTTACACGCTTTTGAAGCAATAGTCCCAAATGCTCAGATGAAATCATACCAACTAAGGTACCATATGAAAACCTAGATGGATCAGTGGAACCAACAACAACTGGAAAACCATGATGTAAATTATTAGTAATGCGGTCAACCAAATCACCAATACGCATGATAGGATATAAATACACAACAGGATTTGACATTATATCATAAGCTCTTTTAGTTATGGATAAGGAATGTGGTGTCCAGGGAAGTAGGGCCATACTGTTTAACCCAATATGTTCATCATATATGCCCTGGAAATTTTTAAAAATGTCAAAATAAGATTCAATAATCACTACAGCACACAAAAAAATCCAACTGGTGCACAATCTTACGAGATATTATATTTGGTGAGTAAGCGTTAAAAGTATACCGTTGTAAACAGACTTTACAACTTACTTCACTCAGACAATCGCCCATATATTTAGCAACTGTTAAGGTCATCAGTAAAGGCAAACCGACTATCACGTTGCCGGTCACCTCCATAAGGATAACTGTCAAACTCAAAGTCATCCGAACAATACCACCCAACTGTGCCGCAGCTCCAACTAGAGCGAATTTTCCTGGGTCCGAAAAATGAGTTGGATCGATTGTATGCATTACATTTCCTACAGTAATAAATTGTCAGAAATCTTGTCAATTTATTCAGAATACTGTTAGAAATTTTAAAAAGTGATTATTTGACACACCTTTAGATCAAACTGTGTAGGTCAAAACGAAAAATCATCTTGCTGAAATACTAAACATTAGTATCACCGCTTTAATTTGTAAAATGAATGACTGAATTTTGAAACAAATAAGTAGTCAGTAACATTCCTAGTACTATATGGTTTTAACATCAGCTTATCGTCCCAGTTTACGTTACATTCTAATCATTTCAATGAGCTAGTACATTTTTTACTACAATATGGAGTGAACTACGGAAAACCGGATGGTTCATCAAACATGATAAAAACTGAAATTAGACTTCTGATAATGAGGAAAGGGTCCCTGACCCAGATACTTACAGTTGGGAGGATACTAAATGAATTCATCAGCTTTTAAACAATGACATCTAAAGTCTAGAATACATTATTTATGGCATTTTCCTGGAGTGGTCCTTCGAATAAACACACAGAACACACAGAATAAACGTAAGTCTCGATGAGTCAGTTTTCCGGAAAATACCTGTACTTTTTAATACGTTTTCACTCTCAATGTCCCTACATAATTTGTCAGTCCCACTGTATAAGAGTGTAAAGTATAACCACAAAGTGATAAGCGGATGAAACATATTCTTTAAAACTGTTTAGTTGCATTCTAATCTAATTATTGACTATACTTAATGACAAGGAATATAAAATGGGAAAAAGTTATTACTAAGTTCTTACTAGAACATTGAGCTTTCACTTTTTGTACGATGGAAGACGTGATTAGGAGTGAAACATACATAATTATTTCTCAATTTGGAGGTTTGTGGGGACATTGATTTCAGATTGTTATTCATCATAGGCTGACTGACACCAGTTGCAGAGACACTGGAAACCTAGGAGCACTGGCAAACTGCTTCGTCCAAGTATGGGACTCCTCAGCAGTGTGCACCCATGAACCCACCGAGGATGGAACCCAGAATTTCCAGGTTCCGTGACCGGCACGTTACCATTGAACCACTGGGTCAGAGTCCAATGGTCCGGTCTATATGTCCTACTTCTGTCGATGCACGATATGGTGTGACCTCCACCCAACCCCATCGTTCAGTAATTGTTTTCATGTTCGACTTAGTAGGCCCCAGTGAGTGCTCCAGTTTAAAGCTTTTCCTCTAGTTGTAGCCCATATAGTGATCTCTGACTATAACAATTTGCCTACACTGAAATCAACAAAACAAATTTTCTGGATAGTTGTAGTAATTGCCTTCCATGTAAATTGCAATAGAGTGATACAAGTACTCACCGATGATCCGACCCCAACCTGCACCGATTAACAAAGATGGGATGAATAGACCAGCTGGTACCGATAGACCATATGTAATACAGGCCAAAAAGTAGTACACGAGCACAAACACAGTTAAAACAAAGATACTGTACGTCTTTGGAGGGTCGTGAAGCAAAATTCGCAGAGAACGTTCGGGTGTTGAAAATAATAAGGAAGAAACTGAATTAAATTCGTTGTCTGCACACATCATCTTTCCGCGCATAAAAAAACCAAAAAAGCAGTGAAGCAAAAAATTAATGCAAGGATTATTTACATACTTTCAAAATATTTACATAGTCAATACGAATGAGTGTATAAATAGTGACTAGTAAAAGATGTTCTCATCATCATCGTATGTGCTTTCAAGTCCAGATAGGAATCGAGGAAAAAATTACTCCTCGTCGACATCAAATAATTTCACATAACAGAAGCATTCACAGAAATTTCATTAACGTATACTTAAAGACTTCAGATATAGTAGACACTAACTTTTCACCTCCACCACGAATTTGCAGACAAAAAATCCCAGGTTGCAAACCAAGCGAAAAAGTTATACCACTAAAATCATCTTAAATGAAAGTATACAAACTCCACATACTATACAACCGGACACCTTACATGTAAGTATTGTACAGTACCAAGACCAACGTCCGTAAAGCTTCCCAATTACTCAAATGAGTACATAAAGGCCAACATTCTTTAAAAACGATAACATTCCTGTTTTAACTTAAGAATAAAAACAGCCGAAAATTGAATTGGGCTAGCTGAGTCACAGTTGATGTGAGCCAGAAAACGAAGAAATCAAGCTGTCTGGCTGAAAATAAAGTAAAATTTGAACTCGTAACTGCGTGTTAAATAATACCTATTTAAACAGTGTAATGAGAAGACGAAGATTACCTGGAACATATGATGTATTAGCACTATACATTTCGAACAATCTGTTCACACATGGACTTGCCCAACTATTTATGTGAAAATTTACGGAAAGGGTGAATTAAGTCAGTAGGAAACATGGAAGAGCACAGAAAAAACAAAATCCAATTCCTTACACTCTTGGTATGCAGATTAAAATCAATACTGCCAAGGTTCAACGTCAGTACAAATTGTTTTTGGATCTATAAAGGAGTTTGAATTTACGGATGGTAAGAGTTTTATTAAATTTAAGCACTCGGCCGTAACCACTTTTATGGAGCACTTTAAAAGTTGTTTTCATGTCTACCCTGTGATTAGTTTCTAGCGTATGGTTAGCAATAGATGAAGGTAGACATTTGTCACCTGCTCTTATCGGATCTGTTGAGGTCATTTGTTTTTGAGGCCATTTAGGTACATGTTCAACCATCCTTAACTGCATATCGCGATTACTCCTCCCTATGTGTATGTCCATAGATAACGTAAATTGAGGAACACGGTGGGATGTGATGCAATCGTTTATATGTTGTTTTGGTTTGTTGTAACATGGACTTTATCTTCTCCACAATGATAACTTTGGCTGCATAATGTTTTACAGATAGCTGATCTAACCCTTTTTCTCACAATAAGGCTGCGTAAATCACCTTTAAATGGCAATGAGATGTTGACACTTTTCTTACGAACGGAACACTGTGTACTTTTCAATGCAACATAACTTCTGCATCTGTTGATAAACTTCAACGAGTAACCATTCTGTGCCAATGTTGTCGTCAGTAAATTGGTTTCTTCCTCCTTCGTGATATCAGTGCAAATGAAGTTTATCCCGTTGAATAAGCACCTAACTAAACTGCGTGTATATTGTACTGGGCGGTAGCCATAGAAACTAAGATATTGCCCTATCCATGTAGACTTCCGATAGATCAACTTTCTTACCGAGCAATCCTCCCATAGATTAAGCATTATGTCTAAGAGTGGTAGCTGGTTATTCGCTGCTTGTTCACTAGTAAGGTTAATGTGATTTTGAACTGTATCCATCTTCTCTAGCAGGCACATTGTATCGGAAGCGTTTCACCTTATAAAACATGTCAGTTGCATAGTCATTATATGTGAAGACTCAATCAATGAATAAAGCAGTCTTATTTTCAGGAACTTATCACGTGATACTGTTTCTTGTGAGTAACATCTATATTAGGTTGAAATGGGTAAACTAATGACCAATAAATGAATGAGTTCATTTACAGAAGACGAAAAGAAAAACATACTTTTAGAGGGAAAGAACTGCTGGTAAATGCTATTGGACTACAGTCACGAACACCCCACATTACTGCAAAACATAGGGTAGTTGTTAGTGCACTGACTAAAGTAGCTTCTAAGATTTTATTAAACTTCGTCGTCATGTTTCTATAACAAAAGAAAAAACATATGAGCTAGTTTTTGACAATTGTGGTAGAAACGGCTAGGTGTTGCTCTATAAAACTAAACAAAAACAAAAACCCCATGAATAACTAACTTTTTAGTCTGCCCACCATTCATGGCCTTAGAAAAGGTGATTGGTGTCTGGAATTGTTTAGTCCCACAAAAAGTGGTAAGTTATAGGATTACGAAAAGATTGAAGTCTTAACAAAAGTATATGACAGATCATAAAAAACCCTTTCACCTAACAGTAGCGAATATGGTAGACTTACTTCTGTCTATACCTTGTTAACACGGAATTTGCTTTGACAAATAATGCTCCAGATAGTCCGCCAATTAGGCCCATTACTAAAAACATGAGAATTTCATAGGCATTGTAATCATTCAGAGACTAGAAAATAAAAATAAAAAAATTTTTTACCACTCATTTAGGTAACAAAAAACAATTTATGAGTAACAGACAAAACATTATCACGCAAACAACCGGTAAATCAGAACTGAGCTATTCAGACACATTCTAAAGACAGTGAAAACTGACACTAGAAAGTTTCTGAAATATAGGATTCCAACCAGAAATACCGAGGAGGTATTCCTCGTGTGAATATTGCTAGGGTTAGATGTCGAACTCTCAGAAAGAAAGGCAATTCGATGATTCGTTGGTCTCCATAAAAACAGCTGGGATATCTTACGTATAGTTGGTTACCATCTGCCCTGTTGCAAAATATCACTTGGAATAGGATATGCTTAAAAAGCATTGAAAGTAGTTATGCTGAAAAAATTGCATGAATCTATGAGGTTGTCGATTGTTGGCGAAAATCACGTAGGGAGGTGCAAGCTATTAGAAGAGTCCTGAAGACAACAAGAACGAATATTTGAGGAGTCTGTGATATGCCATTATATTCAATCTGGATATTACAAATGTAGAAAATGCTTTATAATCACGGTTGACGTAAGCAATAATTATAAAATGACTACACTACAGTATGCGTGTTAACTTTTAAATGAAGCAGAAAAAACTGTATTTACGAAACTACTTTTGTTCATGAGAAGATATTTTCAATGGAAAAGAATTATTATCATTGGTTGAGAAACCTGGAGGCCAGTTAAGACCTAGAAAGGAGAATGCTGAATCCACGTAGAAACCATTTTTGTTTTAAAAGTAACGTAAGTGAACATGTGAACGCTGAATTAAAAAATTACGAAAAGTGTGACAAGTTGATGGGAAATATTACAACTCACTTCAAGAGTGCCAAAGCTAACCAGACCACCCGGAGTAAATTTAAATTCATGAGTGCGGGTAAGAGTTTTGAAAAGCGCCAAAGTAAACATAGAAACCATTGATGTGAAGAGCTGAATCAAAAATCAAATTTTAGTGCAACTTGAAGTAAAATTATCATATACCGCAGTGCTGAAAGCATATATTTTATTTAACCAATCAAATCTCAGTCACAAATAAACAACTTTAATCCTTTCAATTATGAACTTGATCCAAACACTCAGTATTTCTACGAAATATAGCAAATAGTATAGCAGAAAACAAGCAGATGGGTTTTAATTGGGGAAGGTTGACCTCTGTATGATACAGATGAAATTATAATACATGCAAATGGCTCCCTGACAGATACTCTACGAAATGTGACAGCAGTAGGACGTTTCCTGATGAAAATCAGTGTTCCAAACTGACCCTGCCCTCCACTTATCAGAAGGAAGGTTTCCTAAAGGTCAGCATTTAAAATAGAAAATTCTTGCTTGCTCCAATCAGTCAATCAGTACCCACATGGGATAGCATTATTATGTGACGATTTGAGTTATAGCATTGCAAATCAAAACGTCAAGATAAAGTAGAAAGACAAGGACACGAAAATAATATAAAGGAAGTCATATAAATTCTACTTTACAGTTACCAATGATTATGAGCAGTAAATTCTGCTCCAATCGTCATCACTAAGTAACACTGTTCCACTATGTAACATAAGAATGAACTATAGTAGGATTACACCCTACCAGTGTCTAAATTTTGTCTTTATAATAAAGAAGTCAGTCATAAAAAGCGAGGGAATAGAGCGAACAATGACAATTTACGTGACAGGAAAGATGAGGGTAAGGCGCAAACGTAACTACAATACTGAGATCGATTCTGAATTATATCAAGGATTGCCGAACATAGGTTTCCATTGTGACACAAGTCCCAACCAGGAAATAACCGATTTCCTACACGGCTCCGACCAACAATTAGGAAACTAATGGATGGATACCATTTTTTAGTCTGAGCACGACTGACTTTCCCAACCTAATCTTACTCCAACTACCACTGGTTATCAGCATAAATAATGACTAGGCATGGATCATCATCGTCAATATCAACATACGACCAGGCATTACTGCGTAACGGTCCGAGTTGCCACAGCTCATATCAGTACATCAAGTAAAAAGGCAAAAAGCAGTGAAGTGGAAAGTGAACAAAAAAAATTCGGCCGAAAGAAATACAAAGCACGAGAAGAAAGAAAGTAAGAATGATGAAATGGTGAGAATCTGTATAATGTTAAGATGAGGATAATGTGTGTATACATCTGCGCCACTGACATCGGTTCTGAGCCATATCCCCTAGAGTCTCCAGGCATCGGTTCCTCTTGTCCCGCGGGACCCAACCACCTCATGGGTATGGGCAATAAAATGTTTCTAAATTAATAAACAGAACTGCCTCTTTTGGTTAAGACCCTGTCTAAACCTTAACTACACACCTTCAGGTTTCGCCGCACGCAGCCAATGACATGAAGGCACTATTGATCGAAAAAACGGAGTCTCATTGTTTTCTGAAATGAATAACCGTTTCAGAGCCATACTATGAAACACAAGGAACTGATGTGTGTTACACTCCACCCCAAGTAGGCAATGGGACATTTCTCTAATGACATAAATGGAGTACGTCAGCAAAAACAAATTGGAGAACTTAACTCAAAATCGCAAAAGAAGGCCTTAACTAACAATTAATCAGAATCCAAAGCAAAAACTTACCTAACATGAATGCTACTTTGTTCACTAATTTAGCAAAAAAGTGGATGTCTTTGAAAAGTTAATAGAGCCTACCAACAAAAATGCAGAAATACCCACCAAAGATTGAGAAAATCGCTATTAGGATGAACAGGAGGAAAGACACTAATCCCTATATGAGTATCCGGACAGCCCGCAACCTCAAACATTTTTTGACAGCTATTCATCTTTAGTGAGGCTAGATCCTGATCGAGTATACCAATGAAAGATAATTACTCACTAAGCCTGTTAGCTTCATTCTTATTCTCTCGTGGTTGATAAACTACAGGCTTGGGCAATCTTAATTTAGACCAAAACTGGTACATGAGCACCAAGAAATACACTATACAAAACAATATAGTAACGCTGAGAAAACGGAACAGTGATAACGAAAAGAAAAAAGAAAAGGAAACAATGGCGTACAAGAGAACAACCTCGAAGACTCGTTCGTAACTTCCGTCTCACACGCTTTCAGGCCACTACAGTCGAAGCTTCAAGATCACTTCACTCAACGAATAACGATCTTGATATTATAAAGACATCCCTGAAGCAAATATGTAACGACGATGTAGTCGGAGAGCTGTTAGGATATTAAGATACATTACGCTATACCTTATGCAATTCAGGCCGTTCAAATCAGTGAGGGAATTTTTTTATGAAATAATCAGATTATGCCGTTGATCTAATTCCCCTGATTACCTTCAACACCGCCACAAAGTGGTAGGCTTATCGGCAAGCAACCTTAACACTTCCAAAACGACTGCTCAAAAGTAAGACCACTTACGAAAATAAATTAACAGTTCAACTAATTCTTATCGATCTGGAACATACTTCAAGTGTTAAAATGCAGTAAGTAGTTAAACCTGACAAGTCACAGAAACATTTAGGGCGAGACAACAGAAACTTACGATGGTCCATGTTAATCTTTGGTAAACAAAACTAGCGCCTTCTTCAAGGGAAAACAATAGACCACCAACCGGCGCTCCAAAAGCCGCCGCAACTCCTGCGGCGGCCCCAGCACTGACAAAATCACGTTTCTCCTGATCATTTCTAAAAATTCTCAAACAGCCTAAAGACACTTTGCAAAACCGAAGGCGTCCTTGAGATAGCCCTGCAGCAATAACTGAGCCTATGTGTATCATTGGGCCTTCCTTGCCAACAGCTAATCCCCCAGAAACCGCCAAACAACACCGACACCTTTCACGATCATAGTCAGACATCGCATTGCACGCGGAATATTAAGTCCATTAAGATAACATTTGATTTGAGGAATTCCACTTCCAGCAGCAACTGGCTGAAAAAAATCTGACGTGAAATTTTAACCTACAGCTAAAAAAACAACCAGTGTTGCTGCAGCCCCAGTAAGTATGCAATTGATAGCACACCACAAAAATCCTGGAACAGAAATCCATAAGGAGTAAGAATAATATCTGATAACTATTTTGGTTAACGGAAACTGCTAATTTACGAATTATGATTATCAGTTCCATAATACTGAAAAAAGGATACGCCAAGATACCGACCGGTACTTGTACTGAGAAATAATTTCAATGCCATAGTCTATCACACAGGCAGAAAGACCAGTAACTACGCCTATAGCGAATAGAACTAGGTGCCGCAATATAGCCGTCCGAAAACGATTACCCTGCAAACAGTAAAAACTAGTAAAATCTACACACGTATGACGCTCTTCTTGCACCTTCATCAGTAAATATTTTGTTCTGAACAGGATCATAATCAAACCCCTTAAGAATTGTTAAGGGCAGCAACTCATTACCTCAATACCCTGATCCAATAGAATATCTGGATTTAACTCGTCATTTGTGAGAGACAAGACATCCGTACAGCTATGACTGCGAGGCCCACCTCTGCAAAAAGCTTGAATCTCCTACAGAACCAGAATCGTATGTTGAAACACTTTGAAAGAAACTGTTACCTCGACATCGCTTGAAATGCCCAAACGGAAATTGTATGACAAGTTTTGATGTGGACCTGCCATACCATGGTTGGTGGGACTCAATTCTCTAGTCGGGAAGGAACTCCCCATCACAGCGCTAGAACCTAACGTCAACTGGGAATCTTGACCTTGAATGCAAAACGTGCGGGATCAAATGTTTCAATGAACTAATAACGGAATAGCATAAAATCTCTTTGATGTCTTCTGTGTCTAGAAGCAGTTGACAGCAAATTACTAAGGTTGCAAATAAATTTAGGAAATGACGAGAGACAACAAGAATAATCCAAATCAAATAAATGAAGAAGTAATTCGGTCCATAATCACAGGAAACTGGCAGATAAGTTAGTAGATATCCAACAACTAAATAAGTGCCATCGTGGAGCAGGAGATAACGCCGCTGACCCTGATAACCCTTCATACCTCATGAATTTTGGGGATTTCTCTGAGCTCACAAACAGCGTGTTGGAAAAGAATGACGGGAGAATGTCCATTGTCCACTAAAACGGGCCAAATGTTTTCAGATGGTTGGTGACAGAATGGGAGAGGCTCTTTTTAGCTGGCTATGGCGTCTGGAGGCACTGGACTATTAACTACTTCGATCGTTAACCAATGTACCAATAGACACAGATAGAAGAAAAGATAGGAAGATTATGGATGATGATTGAACGTGAAGTGAAAATTTCAACCACGACGAGATTCGAACCGGTGACCAACTGGTTTCCGACCCGGTTGTCTACTAAGAGATTTAGTTATGATCACATTCACGCCCATATCATACCTTAGTATCAACTTAGTGTTTAAAGAACTCAACAAACAGGCCTAGGCAACTACTGCCAGCACATCATACCATTACTTAACAACTCCTAGGGCGTAGACTTTCTACCTAGTCTTCAACTCGCTACGTTCCAGGCTTAGTTTCTGTGTTTCGTCTAAGACTGGTGCGACAGCTAGGGTTAAGTAAAGGATGGAGTGGGTTTCCAGAAATTTTATGATATTATGGGCCACCATCAAATTCTATCTTAATCTTCCACATTCTACAAGATGTAGCTCAAGCGCTTCCAGCCATCCTTCACATTTCCAAACAGATTCAGTCGAGCACCTGTGGATACATTCTAGGTTTGACTTTGTGCAGTCCAGATGGGGTTTCGCAATATTAATTGGAGACGTATATGACTAAAACACCCAAACATTTGTTTGCGACTTACTTGCATCAAGCTGGCACGAAATGTTTCCACAGCAGCCAACATGAGATGTCTTGATGTAATTGGGTGCCCAAATCCTCCTCCATAGGTTATTCGTGTTGTTCGTTCCATAAGAATTATGCGTACGGCAGAGCTAGAGTCTTGGACGTGCCACCTCCCGTGTTTCGAAGTCGCAACATGTTGTTGATTGTCTAGCCCTGAATTTGGATCAAACCTTCCTGTAAAGAAATACTATTTTCGTGAATCCCAATTTCTCTATAAGTCCCACTTTGTCTAGTGCTAGGAAGATTTCTGAAGAGACGTGTGTTAAAAATGGGAAGGAGTGTCAATGAACCCTGAGAAACTCCACTCGGACCCTTCGTCTTTTCAGGGATAGAAAAAGGGCTAATAGACGAAAGCTGCTTTTGTCCTGGTTGCTAAGGCCGTAACGGTTAGCAACCAGTTTTGGCTCCAAGGTCAACAATACTGGTCTAACCACCAACCGAGGTGGGCGAGTTAATGATGTGATCGTTCTGTTTCTCAAATCGTCGTTGTTGGGTGTTGAAGAAGTCAACGACAATTAGGTGATCTGTCACCAATTAACCACTCTTTTGCTTTGGAAGTTAGGGTTGACATGGTCACCGTCGGGTTGCATCGTTCAACTACTTTGAAGGCTGGTTTAGCGTGAAGTGACCCCCAGCGGCTGCGCCCCTTTCCCTGACTTAGAAAATCCTCAAGTAATAATGGTTCTTTCGCCACCAGAACGGCCACATGAACTTTGATCAGCCTCGAAGAAGTGTCCTGTATGGGTGGCAGCAGGCTGCATTGCACTTGTTCGATGCTTAAGTCAGGGACCAGGAGTTCAACTTGCTTAGGTTGGTATTCTTGAACTCATGATTAGGTGAACAGTGATGAAAGGATTTTAAACGCATATTAGCTGGGGGATCAATTGCTGCAGCGTCGCCATCGGTCAACCAGCAGACCCTTATAGTTGAGAGGCGTCAGCTTTAACCTTTCGGAACGATGCAGCACAGCCAAGCAGGCTTACCAAGTTAGGAACTAACATGCCTGCTAACCCAACTTAACGCCGCCAACGACTGCCCCTCAGTACCTAGTTTAATGTCGTTCCTGTCCGCTTAAATAGCTATCGTGCCTGACTGTTACCATCCCTTTCGTGTTCGGTCATGTCTTGTCTTGTAGCTTGCAAACAGGGTTGCTCATTATCTTAGGCGACTTGAAGAAAGTTGAAATCAGAGTGGAACACAGTGACTGATGACAAATAGCTTCTGTCGACCATGAGTCTCTAATGCTTTTTGCATCCCTCCTCATGTGACCAGATCCTCAATCCGTCTCTTTTAGTTCCCTCTAAGGGGATGAGATACTCAGCCGCATGAGGTTCAAGCGACGTTTTCGAGGGTCCAGCTATCTCGCCGCTACGAACCAACTGGAAGCCGATGGCAGCACGATCACTCCAACCTAAGGAAGAGAAGATTAAGAGGCTATCCATCGTGAATCTCCTGCTTGCCAAAACGCGGTCCAGGCAATGTAAGGCTCCAGTGCCTCTTCGTAGCATTAATGGCTCCAGATTTTCGGTTGATCCCAGTTCCTCAACAATGTTGAAGAATCACCCTTAATGGAGTCGTCACTTCCGCCGAAAGCACGGTTTATAAAGCTGACCTTAGGAGGGTTCAAATGGTGTAGAACCAGAATGTGAATCCGTTAGATGATCATGCAGGCTGATTGCCTCCACCGTTCTATCACGGTACTAAGCGCCAGCAGATTGCGTTATAGAAATGGTCTCTAGGTACTTATAAAAGTACCTAGAAGTTTTGAAATACCTTGCGGAGCACTAAACGCATCCTCCATGATAATCTAGTGATCCCAATTACTACGACTGTCCTTCCGTGGTTCGAACTCAGTTCAGGCAGGAAAAGGAAGACATGAAGTTACAGTCCTTGAACTCTGAAGATGTTGAGGATATACAGTCGACACCAGACTGACTTACTGGCTAAGCGGAGCTAAGAATTCTACTAAACAACAATTATGCTGAATGCATGAAGCCTGAAAAGCTCGCATCCACACTCATTTGTTGGGCGAGAACCAAATCATTCTGGTTGTGAAAAACATGAAGTCAGTAGAACCTCACTACAAAGGGTGGAAATGAAAGTTTCTAAATGAATGAATGAAATTTCTTCACTTGTATAATTCCGTCACTGACTAGACCCAACTAGTCGATCTGCACTGAAGCATGAGCTCTTGGGAGGATGCCTGAATTTCGCGTGTTTCATTTAGACATTAGTGATCGGTAGCGGCTAGTTGCTGAATTCTGGAAGAGCGTTTCTTCCTTTCAGGACCCGTCAGATGGATTCGCCTGTCTCCAAGTGAGTGATGTTACCCCACTAAGATGCCAACCCGAGAGTGAGCCACCGAGTCAAAAGAGGCACTTCTTGTGAGACGGATACAGTCTTCACGTTGTTACTCGTAGAAGCCAGTCATTGACTGGACAGAAATGGCCGGTCTCCACAAGCGTATGGGCTCCTGCCTCCTGAGTTCCACTGCTACCCGCGTCATTCTTTGATGAATAAATGAATCACGAGCAGTATTGGGCCAACTCAGCAGTTAGTCGCATGCAAATAGAGACCGATCGCTTTCGTCCAGGCACTGGCGGGATGATACGAGTGGCAATATAGAAATCATATCCGTCGCATAAGAAGTGCCCACCATAACTCAGTGGCCTAGTGGAAAACTGCCCACAGTTTGAGACGGTCGGTCACGAGTGCGATTCATAATGGGAACGACATAGTCCACTGGGGGCAGGTACATCTGACTAACGGGTCCCAAATGGGACGAAACGGGATTCCTTGATTCCACTGCTGGCTACTATCTACCACTGATATGCAATTGAAGCATCAGCAACACCTAAATGTGCGATACCGTCGAACTTAATGTGTGTTGCAACAAAGAACGAAAACCCGCAACTCAATCTGATCGAATTGGTGCCCTTGCCTTCGAACATAGTGGTAGCCACACCGGAAGTTGTCTGGACAACCAGTCATAGTCTACATTTCGAGATGAATATGCATTCAGGAAGGTAATAAAATCAAGGGCTCTAAAGGAAGTAAAATAAACGAAAACCCGTCATTCCCTCTTTATCAGGCAGGGGTGGCCATTTCACTTTCGGGTTAGGGAACGGCTGACGTTCATGACTAACTCATCCTGTCGATAAACGTCACCCAAATTCAAATGAATTGGCGTCGCAGGCCTCCAGAAGGCGCTCTAATGGATGGACTGAGGGGCCATACATATTCACCAGGACATAAGTATCCGCTGGATACCCATGCATGACGAAATCACATGTAAGATAAGCCAGTCTGTTCTCCTTTCGGCTTTAAAGTGTCGCGAACGACCCAAACTTCCGTGGTTGAAAAGACATCGCTGGTCCGAACACAAGAAAACCAGTCAGGAATCTGCCTGAGAACAGTTTAAGCAAACGAGAAATCGTTGCGTCACGGCGTTTTACTATGATAGACACCGGCACCAATTCCGTTCCAGTATATTTGCTGATAAGACAGTTTCCCGCTTTATGAGTCACGCTGGCTGATTAGTTAAACCCCAGATATTTCAGGCTTTCGGCATTCAAAACTTTCCACAAATTCTCATGGGCGTCTCACAGAAATGGCACAACTGTCAGCCAGTGACTCCAGAGACGTTTGCTAACTCCGCAGGCAGGAGATATCAAGGAAGGATAGGTCTCCGCGGGCGGAAAAACTCAACTTTGCTGTCCCACAAGTAGAAGGTTGACTTCTGGCTCGACCAACCACAAGATCATTCACATATTACCCGAAGCAAAGAGTAATAAGCGAATTTTACTGGCGCAACAGTGTCACGCCTATTATCGAGAGTGCTTAA